ATCAATATGGAAATATCAATTTTGGGGAAAATTCTGTATATAGTTTTGACACTAATGTTTACACAGACGGACAGTCAGAAACGAAACGAAACGTTACGAAACGTAGTCGTTTTTGTGGCTTCCATACAGCAGAAAACTAATGATGATGGCTAAGCCATCGAAAGCTGCTATTTGAACAAATAATATTGTTGGCAAAGATGTTGGCAATGGCGACATATAATTATTTCATAAGAAAATAAATCCCCTTGTATTTACACGAGTTCCGTACGATTGCTCTTAATCTCATTTGCACGTGCGCAAAGATTCGTGGTCTATTTTGTTAAGAATGACATCTAAAAACAATCCCTGAGGCGGCCCGTGGTTTTGCTGTCAGACCGGTCGGTTTCCGCTGTGAGGTCTGGGGTTCACATTCAGGTTGGCCCATGAGGAATTTGTTCTAGTTAAAGGAGGTCGAGACTATTTCTTGAGACCCATCCGTTTCTCTGTCTCTCATTCCATCACTGCAACATCATTCATTATTTATAAACAACTGCCCAGAAGTGTATCGCGGTCATCCTGGGAAAGGCAAAAAGGACTTGACAAAAGAGTCGGAATATTGTCAACTGGCATTGTGATTGTGATGTCAAACAGAGCCTGAAAACATCTTCCATTAACGCAAATTTTGATGTCAAACTTTCAATCAGCGATAATTAAATGATGTCGATGGGCTTAGCCGCCAGAGTCCTCATCTGGGCTATCTGGGTCACGCCGCGTCGTAGACTGAGGTACCGACGTTTCGACTAATATATCTCGGTCTTTTTTAGGACTGTAATGTAAACTACAGCCCTGAAGACGACCGCGGTATGTTGGTCAAAACGTCGACACCTCACCCTTTGCCGCAGCGACACCCGCATAACCCATCATCCATGAAAATTTCCAGTCCGACTTCCCAAAACTACGAAAAACAGGCAAACGGTGTCCCGGTGCGCACAGTTTCGACCTCGCTTTGGCCCACTGCTTGGGCGGAGAAGAGACCACGGCGAAACCGGCGGTCGGCGACCCCTCGAAACCTCGGTGCGGGCCCTCGAAAGCGCTTGGCCGCGCCAGCCGTCCCAGCCAGGCCGACGCAGTCCGCTACGCGCTGGCGTCACCGCCGCCAGCAGGTTCTGCTGTTTACAATCCGAGCTCAGCTGTGGACGCCCGCACGCGCCGCTGCGGTCGCGGACGCACCGTCCAAGGGAGAATACAGAGTGGGCCGTGGACAGGGGAAGATACCCAGAAAATGTGCCTGTGGAGGCGAATTGATGCCTCTCCTCACAGTCGGTCAATACAAATAACTTTTTAAGGGGTTCTTTTTATTCTTGAAATGCTGTCCGATACGACGTAGTAGGAATACTGAGTGCAATCAATAAGTAGTAATTATTTTGAATATATAGATTTTGTGAAAAAATCTTGGATATGGAAGAGAAATGCCATTATGGAACCTCTGAATCCGCTGTTTACAATATCACTACCGCCTCCGCTAAAATAATTAATAATTATTTTTAACGTAATTTTAGAGCACATATATCGATCTATCTATTTAACTATTTCTCTATCTATCTATCTATCTATCTATCTATCTATCTATCTATCTATGTATATAGATATATAATGTGTGTGTGTTGAAATGCGTTCAGAAGGGAACATATATTGAACAAAACATGGAAAAAACAATGCTTCTTCAAAGTATCTCGGATGATTATGTTGGATCATTACAGCAGCGTTGTGTAAAACAACCTGAGGATGCACGTAAGCAACTCAGCATTTATAATACATGTAGAGTAATCTGCATTCTGTGCCGATGATTTATGCATCAGAATTTGCATCGCTTAAAAGTGTTCAATGGCTTTTTACTGTAAACGTACATTCTCTTTTCATGAAAAACTTTGTACTCTTGATAAAACACAAATTTTGCGTGACAAATGCCAGAGCTCCAATACCTTTTGGGATGGTTTATGCTTTTACGCCCCGTATTTGGCTGAACTCGATTACTAAACACTTGTATTTCAGAAGTTTCTAAGTCTTCTTGCTTAGGATGTTTTGATCGCATGTCATAGCAATATCTACAAGTAGACATATTGTTTCTTCATATACAGGATAACAACATCCGGTTTGTTTTCCAATATCGTGAAATCAGTTTGAATTTGTTTATCGTACAATATTGTAGATATCCCAGTAGACGTCACAGGTTTTGGTGGGTTTTCCTAGTATTAGGAGCACGTGTTTGGAACTTCGAAGGCGTTACATATCTGCCAGTAGAGATAAATACACACTCTATTGATTTCTTCATGTATTTGTCCTTAATATAATTGGGCAGGCTGTTATGGCAATATCAATGGTTTCAATGTATTAGTTTTATACTAACAATGTAAATATTAATTAATTGTAATGCATTATATTATATTTATTACAGAAACGGTTTATAAAGTATTATATAACTACTTGAGTGATATGATCAAGAAAATGAGCAACGATAGGAGCCAGTTTTCTTATTTATAATGAAATTATAATCCTTTACTCCCGTATTACGTTCAATAATTTTCTTCTATATAAGAATAATTTGAATTTTAGGAAATTCTTACACATCTGTGCCATTCGAGACATTCATTGGATGACATCGTTTTGTTTCTGAAAAATACCTACTATATTGGGCCTGCATTGCGTTTGCCATAAATGTTTGCGAATGGAAGATAATGAACATATTCCGGATGAAATATTAGAAGAAGCTGACAAAGCCATGAAAACGTTATTTCCTACAAAACGTTAGAATAGATATGAGAGAATACAACACATTTAAATAATAGAAAGTAAAAGAAAATGATGAGTAACTCCTGGCTCAGTTTTGATGGGGTACTTTTAGAACAGGTAAATAATACGCTAAGACCAAATGTTTTACTGATAAAACGATTTTTCAGGGAGCGTACTTAGTTAACTAAACAAACAACAACGAGAATAAAGACGAATGACCGTTTTCACGTTACCTACTGAACACAAACCTGGAGACTTTAATGCACGATGAGAAGATTGCTTGAACTAACAAGACTCATTGTATAATACTTTTACGCTCTTTAAAATGTATAAGAATGCACTTTATATATAAATTTTTCTTCAATTTTCCAGTAATTTAGTTGTATTTTAGAAACTTATTTGACTTTTTTCGAATTAAAACGTTCATGAGACGAAAATTCGAGAAACTCGATTAGACATTACTAACGACAGATTGATTATAAAATAAATTATACATAATCGAACGATTAGTTCCTAATCATCTCCATATTTTATGGTCACACACTCAGAGAATGCTCTAAGTCAGAGGGTTGTCAGCAGGCAATCCTACAGTGAGCAGAAACACCGTTCCATTGGGAATCTCACAAACCTAATGAACTATAATTTTTTCGCGCATGTAATAATGTGATGTTTTTCGGGAGACCAATATTGAAACAAAAATAGCGAAAAATTGTCAAAAAACAGAAAGATGTCCTTAGCAAGCCTAAATTTTAATGGCCATTTGAACTCTAGCTTCGAGATACCGCATATCCGGAGTAAAAGAGGTCGAGATACGCTCACTCCGGGATGCGTTGTAGATAATCCACATTCTGCAGTGAGCAGCAATAGGTTTTCATTGGCAGTTTGCACAGAAGCGCATAATAAACTATGACTTTCACGTCAACTGTTAACTTTATTTTCGAGTTTTAAACATCCATGGCCTGATTTTCACAACACATTTGAGTAAAATACTATCGAAAACTGAACCTTCACTGCACTATATGAGTTGCACTTCACTGTTGAGGTTTTTGCTAAAAATATATTATTGGTTAATAAAACTGATTAATGGAATGTAGCAGGATCTATTTTTGTTGACAATGCTTTTTGCTATTCATGTGCAATATTTTGTATTAAAAATGGTAAGGTTTGCTTTTAAATATATTAAACGATATATTTCACTGTTACAAAAACCTACTATTAGCCATATTCCACAAACTTGGAGTTTTAAAAAGGTTCACAGATTACGACTAACAAATGTGAAACTGTTGTTGAGGCTTCTATATGCCTTTTATCGCATTATGCAGTCTCTGAAAAACGTTTAGTACATTCTAAGAAAGGATTTACTTTACTTTAGTAAGAGTAATACCATTAGACCCTCTCTAATGAGAAGAGCACCGTTCTGTGGGTAAAATCCCCGTGTTTGTACTAGGACCCAGCTTTTTGGAATTGTCGAAGGAACTCTAATCATCCAAAGCGAAGACGTTCTCGATCTTACGCGTATTGCGTAAGTCAAGTGACGGCAATTCAACATTAACACTCATGTATAATTCGCATTGTATCTATTATGAATGTAATTACGACGTCTGCACAACGTACGAAAAATGCTAGTGCCATAAACGTGAGGCAATGCGACAATAAACGGAATTAGACATGAAAAATATTTCATTTAATAAAATATTGACCAAAACTATTTTCTGAATCACTTTCCTAAATGACTATTGTAACAGCAAATATTGAAATTTTTTACACTCTCTCTGGAAAATCATCTAATTTTCTCTTCACAAAGTTATTCACTATCGTTTTGTCTAATAACACTTGCCATGTAGTAATATTAGATCAAAAACTACTTGATTCATCCGTAGGATATCCTTACTTGATGTGGTTATTATCAGCACCAGTTCATTCAATTATTTAGCATAATTTATTTTTGCCTGTTTGCTAAGTATATGGGTGTTCTATAATCTCGCAAAGACATGCCACTCAAAACCATCTTATTCCTTTATAATGTGGTAAATATACATTCCGTTCGCATCAAACCGCGTGAGACAGTGATAAGATTTTTTTTCTCTTGTAAAACTACCGCTACTAGATCAAGCCGGTTTCGATACCAAACGCTTCGTTTCCTCAAAACTCGCTTCTTTCTCCCCAAAAAAACTTATCTCCCCCACCAAAACCAATTCTGTCAATTCGCGTGAGTGCGAGCGTGGACCTACCTGCTGCGCTGGCGTTGCCATCTCGAGCCGTGTCGATGGCGGACTGTTCTGCCGCGCGCCCACGCCCAGGCTATGATCTCCGGTGTGGGCGGTGCGGCCTGCGGGGCTGGGCGGGCTGGCGGCGGACCGGCTGGGCGCGAGGGCCGGCGCTGGCGGCGGCAGCAGCAGCAGCCAAGGTCAAGGTGCGCACCGCGGCCGCCGGCCCCGCCCCGGCCCCGCCCCCCTTCTCCACGCCCTAGACCCGACCCCACGCCGCGCCGGGCCGCGCGTCCGTCCAGGCGCGTCTCCGGCCTGACTCAGCTGGAGCGCGGCCGAAGCGCCGGGCGGTGTACGCTGAGTGGGGAGGAAAGGTGACTGTGGATTTGATATTGATTTCATTAATTGGTGATTCCGATCGCTGCTTGGGTCATTAGTCCCGTACCTATAGTGCATTTTTCCCCTCAGGAGGTGGCCTGGATGGTGAGGTCCGGCGCTGACCTACCGTCGGCTAGCGGGGTTTACTTCCTCCAGTTATTTCCCAGCAGCGTGGCACCGCCTCAGCATGGGAGCTCCCGTCGTGTCATCCGGCTTGTGTGGTACTGTAATGCATCAGTGTAAGGGTTGTGGATAGAACACGGAAGAGGAAGGAAAAATCGCGCACGGTTTTCGGCACGTTTGTTAGGGTTCTGCTCAGGCATTTTCCGTAGTGTTAATCGAAGAATATAAGTGTTGTGGTAAGATATCTTTGGCATTTTTTAAATAATTAAAGATGTTGTCATTGCCAACAATATTTTTTAATTCAATAGCAGCTTTCGATGGCTTAGCCATCATCATCAGTTGTCTGATACAAGAAGAAAAAACACAAAAAAAACAAAAACATTAAAACGTGAATTAACAATAAGATTATGATAAAGGTTACAATTAATTGACAACGGGAGAAAGAAATTTTCTTTAATTATTTTAATCGAAGCATCCATGGTAAACTTCCCATCAGAGCAGCCGGCTGTAAGAATTCTCTTCCAGACAGCGATTGAACTCGATGTAGGTGCCTAGCTCGTGTGAAAATCCTGCCACCGTCGGGGACCGCACTTAGGACTTCCCGATCAGAGACCCTGCAGGGACATAAATGTTGACCTGAGCCACCCGCCTCGATGTGACTGAGGTGAATGCTTGGGGCGACGCGCACGGGTACCAAAATTTCTTGTATATTACTCAGTTTATTTGGAAGAATTACACCGGCTGAGATGCCCAGTGGCATCACTAAGTATCTGTGAACGGGAGACCTTAGGGTTCGAGTCCCGTCGGTGGCGTATTTTCGACACAAGCTGGATAACTAGGTTGAATTCAACCGCAGGTTGGAGAATTCTCGCAGCCGACTGCTCTGTTCATTAATGTTCTGTGATATTCTTTTCGTTCAATACCTGAGGATATTGGGACAGAACCCCATGAAACGGGTCAAGAACTCCCGCGATCTTTGCCTCAATCATGCCACTTATTCGCCCCGTACATACACGGACACGTGCACATACTGTAGCATTGTTTTGTGCACGGAAAACCAGTCAAGATCTTTGATCTTCTCATGTCTGAAGCTTTGCTCCGCTACGAGAACTTCCTGGGTGGGGAATCCCCTCATGCCGACGTGTAGATCAGTTTCGGATAACTCGTGCAAGAGGGAAGAAACACCGGCACATTCCCACTACAACATGCACTCCAAAAATAGTTCACACGCACAAAAATACACACTCAATCCCCACCATCATCCTAATGCAGTAGAGTTTTGCGTTCTGTTGACGGTTGTGAATAACGGAAGCTCTTCTGCTGTAGAAGTTGTCTTCTGTGGTCTATGTGCGATTGTGAAATGTTGATAGTTCTGGTGTTTCCGTTAGAGTCTCTGTGTAGTCTTGAAGTACGTTCAAAGTGAGTCTGAGTTGACGTTTTCATCTTATGTGTTTACTTTGTTGTGCTGTTTACAAGACCTAACATTCTAATCAGTTCGTTTAGACAGGAGCTTATATTGCACATCTGTGTGGCTGGTTTCCGTCATCGTGTGAAGTACATGCTCTTTCAGTATGTTCATTTCTCGCAGCTTGGCCGATTACGACGTTTTGTTGACATTGTCATTTTATATTATATGGTATTTTATACATCGTCTTAGAAGTATTTTCTATATTTTTCATTACATGTTTATTCTTCGTATAAGATTTTACCTTATTCTCGTCCATTTTTTGTATTATCTCGTATATTATTCAAGTTAACATTATTCTGTCACTTTTCACTAAATCTAATTTACAGAATTCGTTATATAAGGATTAGAATTTTAAATTTTTTTCTGCACAGTATGTCAGTAATCAGTTCCGCTACACGTGCATCAGCAGTTAATATTGTTGTTCACGTTTCAGGCATAAATTATCGAAATTGATCGTGTACATTTGCAGGGTGATTTAATGTCATTAAAAAATGCGTAAAGCGCCCGTTTTTACATTTGAATTTTTTTTAATTAATAAAAATTTCATAAATTAATTTGAATTGCAAAAGTATCCGCTCTCGTTAATGAAATTATTTGTTGCATGTTTGAATGCAAGTCTAATATTAACAGCAATTCATTCTGACAGGTGATGCCAACTAAGCAGTTTGTAGAAATTATCATTGGAGGGGCTAACAATATTTGTCTAATATTCGGATATAGGTACGATACGGTGTTTTACTTTTTATATGCAGTCATATCATTCTTGTATTTTTACGGTACTTATACTAGTAATACATAAACTTAAAATATATCTAATTTCCCTATAATTGCAGTATCAGGAAGAAAAATTGCAATCTTCAAAAATGTATGCATCGCTTTCCCACGAATGCAATATAAAGGTGGGTTTTTGCGTAGTTTCATGTTATTCCATTTTAGAAGCTAATACTCTAGTACCTAGTATGCTTTTAATTCATAATAGTTTCTAGTATCCTCTTACATAAGCACATTAGCCACCAGGCCAAATTGCGGAACTGAATGTAACTTTAATATTAAAAAAAGAATGTTTAAATGTAATTTTATATTTCAAAATATATATGTTTTTCGCTAATATAACTTATTATAAAATATTTAATTTATTTCATCAACATGCTTCTTCTTACAAAATACAAAAAAAAATCACATATAGCTTCTGAAAAACCTAACTTTCAAAGGCCCAGAAAGTAAAAAGAATAGTAAAAGGGAATTGTTAGTGTCTTTTTTAATATACTCATGTATATTACGTAATACTGACAGTGATTGTAAAATCGTTCGAGTACGCGGGGAGGAAGGCTATGGGTTCGAGTCATGAGTAAAGAAGAGATGGTTGTTTTTATTGCTCGAGACGAGGTTGGCTTTCTCATATTACCATAAAGTGCATATAATCAACAATCCACCCCACATAAGAGGTGGCTCAGAGAATCAACTGATGCCACTACTGTGTCTCCCACCTTGGATTCGAGTGTCGACAGTGGCAGGATTTTCGGCACTAGCCTCTAGCAACGTCGGATTCAGCCGCTGTGTGGAAGAATATGTTGATTCAGATTTTGTACGTGATATCAGTGATAATTAAAGT